CTGATATTTAACGCACAACCTTAAAACTTCCTTGGATCCCAAAACTGAATAAATAAACCATTTCATAAACAACCCATTCAATAAATAACCCATTTAATAAAAAAATCAATTTAAGAAAGAACCCATTTAAGAAATAACCCACAGCCATTTAGCTAACATGGCTAATTAATGATTTTTATAACTCGCCACCAACACGAAACTCCCTCTTCGGTATAAAACCCTTTCCTCCCTCTGAGAAAAATCCACAACAGGGGTGAGGGGAAAGCTACAAAATCAAGGCAAAAGTTGGTTGTATAAAGAGAATAAAGAGGTTCAAACTCACCTTATTCACGATGGCAAAGGAGGGAAGAGAAATGGCTGGGAGAGCTTGGAGTTGCTCAGGTTTTTATACCAAGTTTTGAGTTGCCCAACGACCCGGGCCACTCTTTGTGCAAGAAGTGATTTATGGGCCACGACTGATTAGAGGCTTTTTTCACCTCAGTATTTGTGTTTTTTACTGCTTCACTTCCTTATCTTGTGGTTTGTCTATCTGACCACGAGGTGCTTTCATCTTAAAATATTCCGGGCCGGGCTCGTTCCTGGGAACACTACGGGGATTAATTCAGCAGGATTTATTCAGCCTTCAAACCCCTTTGGGATCTGCTTGGTGTCATTAAAGGAGATTAGGCCTCATTTGCATAATTGGGTGTCCTCCTCTGCAAGGTGAACCCTGGGGGAATTCACCGGAGAGCCGCAGATTTTGGAAGTCAAGCCGTGAGTATCTGGAGCTGCTTTTCACCCATTCCCAGGATTCCTGAGGCTGGGAAAGACCTCCAGGATCATTGAGTCCAAGCTGTTCCCAACCCCAGCCTTGTCACTGTCCCTTCCTCGGACACCTCCAAGCCTGGAGAGGCTTTCCAGGAAAGAAGGAAGGGATTTTTCCATGGAAGGGGCTGCCCAGGTGGGTTTGGAGTCCCCACCTCTGGACACGTCCCAGGAGCATCGAGGCTGATCAGCCACAGGTTGGGGTTGATGACCCTGGAGTTCTTTTCCAACCCCAAATCCATGAGCAGTTCCTGGGGATTAACTCCGAGGTTTTGGCTCTCCTGGCACATCCAGTGCCGAGACATGGAAATCAAATTTAAATTAGGGCTGTCTCTGTGGGGATCCCCCAGGAGCAGAAACTCGTTTGGTTTGGGCAGAGCCTCCTGAGGACTTCAAAGTTTATCAGCAGCTTTATTCCATGCAAATGTCCCATCCTGGGCACATTTCAGATCCCTGACCTAGATCTGAATTCCTGTATTTTATTTGATGATATGCTGCAAAGATTCGGGGGTGCAGGGCAGTAATTGAGCTGTGAAATTGATGCCATTGTTTCTATCAGCAGGAATTACAGCTGGTTTATTAAATCAAAAAGAAAAGTTCGAGGTTTGGTTTGAGCCATCGCATATTTCAGGTGGATTCTCCAAAAAAAAAAAATAATTCCTTGGCTGTTTTGAGCTGTGCATTCCTCACTATTTTTCCATATTTTGAGGAATTAGCAGCTATTTCAAAAAATATTTCTTCTCTAGGAGTTAGCTGAGGAATTAATTTGCATAACACTATCCACAGGCTTTTTTCCATATTTTTAAAAATTTTCCTCATTCTTTTTATTCCTCCCTCATCCGAGCTTTGCTTGGAAAACACAAAACACGTTCAAAATCGAGCTGTGAATTTAAAAAAATCAGAGCTGTTTGGAGCCTTCCTTGTAAATAATTACAATAAATATTGTTCCAACTCCAGCCTTTATTTTACTGTACGCTCAGAATGACTTAATGGCCTGATTTTGAGACGAATTAAACCAAGTGAATTAAGAGTTCACAGATTTTTGTCATCAAGGCCAGACCTAAATATTCAGATTATAATTAAGACTTCTTGCATAATGTGAGAACATCCTCCTGAGACACCTGCGAGTGTCTGAACGTCTGAAAAAAAAAAAAAGCGATTTTTAATCAAAATGGAACTGGGAGGTTACTCACAGTCATCCCTGGGTAAAGTCTGCAGGCACAAAAGTGACCCCAAAATCCATGGAGGAGCAGAGTGAATTTCCCTGGTGAGAGCAGCATCTGCAATTCCTTTTGGAATTGTAATTAATCAGCTCGTTATGAAGAATTAGTTCCTCAAAGTCTTGGAGCCTCTGTAAAATTCTTGCATCTCCTGAGTTCCCCCCTCTGCTGATTTTGCTTTTCTCTCAGTAATTCTGGACTGAGCTCACGGGGACTTCATGGAGACATTTGAGGTTCCCACCATGATCCAGTTCCAGAGCTGGACAGGATTCCAGAACTGGGCACAATTCCGGAACTGGGCACAAATCCAGAGCTGGACACAAATCCAGAGCTGGATACAATTCCAGAACTGGACACAGTTCCAGAACTGGACACAATTCTAGAACTGGACACAACTCCAGAGCTGGAGACAATTCCTGAATTGGACACAGTTCTAGAACTGGACACGATTCCAGAACTGGACATGATTCCAGAACTGGACACAGTTCTAGAACTGGACACAAATCCAGAACTGGACTCTATTCTAGAACTGGGCACAATTCTAGAACTGGACAGAAATCCAGAGCTGGACACAATTCCAGAATTTGACACAGTTCTAGAACCGGACACAATTCCAGAACTGGACACAATTCCAGAACTGGACACAATTCCAGAACTGGACACCATTCTAGACCTGGACACCATTCCAGGGGGAACCTCCCCAGAGCAGAACCAAAGGGCAGAATTCCCTCCCTGGAGTCCCAGGATTGCCCAGACCTGGCTCTGGGACTTTGCCCTTGGGGTTGGCCCAGTCCCACCTGTCCGGTTCCCCCTGGATTGGGAATTGTGTGAACCTGAAGCTGTTCCTGTGGTTTAAGGTGTTTAATTCAGCCCCTCTGGCCGTGTCTGCCTGGAATTTGGGGGTTTTGCAGCCATCCCTCATTCCTGGCTGGAATTTGCTGCCCAGCCCGGGCAGATGAAGCTGTGGATGTGTGATCTCAGGTGATTTTTGGCACAGTGAGATGTGAAATCCTCCATTTTCACACCTGACTGCAGCTCATTCCGGTGTTAATTTTATTTGGATTCCGTCATGAACAACTTTAAAATCCCTCACCTTTGAGGTTTGCTTTGGCATCTTACTCTGGGCTAATAAACAATTTCTGTTCTGATTCCTGGTTTTGTCCAAAAATTAATGCCACTCACTCCTGGATGGATCTGCGGAGAATTCCTGCAAGGATCTGGGGTAGTGTGGAATTCCAGGCTGGAATTCTGCTGGGAACAGCAGAAAACAGAACCAAAAATTAATTCACACCCGAGGGGAAAAATTATTTACTCACCAGAAGCTCTGCAAAACAACACACCCAGAACGGGAAGGGTTTTGTTTGGTTTTCAGACCTGTTTTGCACCAGCTTTCAATGCAGATTTTAATTAGGTTTTAAATTGGATGAGCGTAATTAGCCCTGCCCTGAGTGCCAGCTCCACCTTCCTCACTGAACAGCGTTTGGTGCCACCAAGGCTGGTGAATGTGGGATTCTGATCCATCCCCTGGGAGCCAGGATTTGCCTGGAATAATCGGGATGAACCCTGTGCACAAAGCGAAATATCTTTCTTTGCTATTTTGTTTTTTTTTTTTTGGTATTTTGAAAAATAAATTAAGGAAGTGTTTCTTCTCCATGAGGAACCCCTCACCTCAGTTTTGCTGCCGTCACATCCCAGATTCCTGATTTCCCGTTTATTTCCTTTGCTCATTCAGGAAGGGAAAGATCCTGGCTGGCTTGTTTGGAGCTGGAGAGCCAGGATCAGACACATTCCTGGAAAACTTTTCCATCCCGGGATAAATGAGGAAGAATTTCATGCTCAAAATAAACTCGGCTGAGAATTCAGCCTGTCCTTAAAGTCTGGAGATCACAGAATTTTTTTTGGCTTGGAAGGGGCATTAAAAATCATCTGGACCATGGGCAGAGACACTTCCCACCACTCCAGGTTGCTCCAAGCCCTGTCCAGCCCAGCCTTGGACACTTCCAGGAATGGGGAATTCACTGAATAACCCCTGCCAGGGCTTCCCCATCCTCCCAGGGAGGAATTCCATCCCAAAATCCCACCTAAACCTCCTTTCTGTCATTCCAAACTCATCCCACCTTGTCCTGTCATTCCCTGCCCTTGCCCAACGTCCCTCTCCACATTTTTTTCTCATGTCCTGGAAGATCCCAGTTAGGCCACCCCAAAAGTTCTCCTACATTCCTAAATTCCTACAACCTCTGCTGCCCCCTTTCACCTCATAAAACAGAGGAACAGCAAGAAAATATTAAAAAAAAAAAATAAAAGAGCTTTGTGCTCAAAGTTTTCCAAGTTTTTCCAAAAAACAACAGGAGACTTGGGGTGTGAGATGCAGCATGACTTTAATGAGAGCAGAACAGCAGAATAAAAAAAGTACAAAGGGTAAGGAAACATTTCTGTGATTCAACAAGAACTGTCATGGCTTTTCATCCTGGGATTCTTCTCTCGGAGCTGCCGTGGACTGAGACAACAAAGCGACAGGAAATAAAAATATTTTGCCGGAAACATCAAAGAATAAGACAAGCAAAGGCCAGGTTGGAGGAGCTCCCAGAGCTCCACGAACCTAAGGGGGAGTTGTGGATGTCTCCCACCACATCTGGAGCGGGATCGAGCGGGGCTCCAGCATTCCAGGGCGTTTTATCCCACATTTGCCTTAGCACGGCTCCCCAGGGCGGGAGCTATAGCGTTGGGATGGCCGTGTGTACCCAAACCCCCCAAACCCCCCAAATCCTCCAAATCCTGAGGAGGAACTCCCCGAGTTGATGGGCACTCCCTCCTCGCTCAGGATGCTGCCCACGGCGGCCGAGGTGGAGGATCCCACGGCGGTGTTCTGGGGGAAGGAGCTGAGGATGGGCCCGGGCAGGGTGACCACCACGGGCGAGGGCTGGATGACCACGGTGGAGTCCTGGCACTGCCTCACACAGGGCTCGTTGCAGCTGTTGGCCAGCGGGGTGGGGCCACAGGACGTGGGGGCACAGAGGTCGTAGCAGGACATGGCGGCGGCCGCAGAAAATTCTGGAACACAGGAGCTGTGTTACACCCACATTTATCAGCATGACAGGAGCTTCCCAGGGGTTTATTCAGGATTGGGAGTTGAGAAGGAAATTTGATTTTTAGTGCTCTTTGTGTTCTGGACTTAGGTGAATTCTGTGCTTGGGCTCTGGGGGAGGCGTCACGCGACTCCAAACAGGCCCAAGAATTCACCACTAATATTTAATGCACAACCTTAAAACTTCCTTAGATCCCAGAATTGAATAAAGAACCATTTCATAAATAACCAATTTAATAAAGAATCAATTTAATAAGAACCCATTTAATAAATAACCCATTCAATAAAGTATCAATTTAATAAAGAACCCATTTAATAAAGAACTCACTTAATAAAGAACCCATTTAATAAATAACCTATTTAATAAAGAACCCATTTAATAAATAACCCATTCAATAAAGCATCAATTTAATAAAGAACCCATTTGATAAACAACCCACAGCCATTTAGCTGACGTGGTTAATTAATGGGGGCACCGAGGTCGTAGCAGGACATGGCTGTGGGGTGTGAGCCTGGAAGACAAGGAACGAGCTGTAATTAGTCACGTAATTAAGCTGTAGTAGTGATGGAGGACGGAATGAAGAGTTGGTCTGGGCTTGAAAGGAGGTTTAAGAGAAGCCCAGACCTCCCCACACCACCAAGGGCAGCTGTGCCTTGTCCTGAGCTCTCCTTTCCCACCACACTCCTCCCGTAGGGGACACAAATCCAAGGAAAGGCATTTCTAGGGATGGAGGGAGCACAGGGAGGAAAATCCAACCCTGCCACGGAGCAGAGCGAGGCAGAGGAGAGCTCTTTGTTCCAAAAACCAGGTATTTTTATTCCTTTTGAAGGAATTAAGTTGTTATCTGTTACATTCCATCTAAGCACAACAAATGGAACTCAACCAACAGCCATAAACAACGGCGTGAGCACGGAATGGTAAAATAACTTTTTTTTCCTGCCTCCAATCCAGCTGAGTCACTTCCCCACAGCCCTTTTCCCCCAGCAGGCCTGAGCCATGATTTTACAAGGGTAAAAAGTTTATATTTTATATATTTTATACCTTCACAAGTAAATAAAGGTTTTTTTCTTTGGGCAGAAAGAAAACTTTTTAATTTCTCTTCAGGGTGAAGCAATAAAAAAAAAAATCTAACAAAAACAAACAAACAAAAAACCAAATAAACAAACAAACAAACAAACAACACTTAGAGATCTTTATAAAGGACTAAGAACACCCAAAAACAACAACAACAAAAATAAAATAGAATAAAAGCAGCCATCAAAGTGGCACTTTAGCATTTAAAACGAGGTCCAGACTCACCTGTTCCCGGGGTGAATGAGGCAGGAGAAGTGGATGGAAAAGGTTTCTGTCCCTAGGCTTTTATAGCACCACCAGAGCCCTCTCCTATGCATGGAATTCCATCAGCATCCCTCCTTTTGCATGCAAAAAAACCCCCCCCAAACCCATCTGCTCCTGTTTGTTTCGAAATCTCCCCTTGGGATTTCTCCCTTTTCCTGCTCCCATTCCCATTCCAGAGCTTTCATCTTCGTTCCTGTGCTCGCGATTAATTGCTGGGGGAGGCTGTGGCGACTCGGCTGAATTACAGCATTAATTAAGTCGCCTCCTCGGGCCAGTGGACGTTTTAGGCTTGGTTTTAGTCATTAAGACACTGCTCCAGGGGCTTGTTGTGATGTTTACTCCTCGTTCAAGACTTCACTCCTTTAGGTGGATAATGCCATTTTAAAATTTATTTGTTTTTCTGACGTGGAGCCTCAGCATTTCATTCCAAGCGTTACCACAAGATGTGGAGGAGATATTCCCAAATTTCCCACTTCCCACAGCTGACAGGAGCAGCACTTTTCCCCTGAGGATTGCAAAGCTGGAAGAAAATTAAACCCAGAATTGCTGAGCAACAAAAACACGTTCTGAAATTCCTTTGGCCAAGCCACAGCCAATCCAGACATCCACAATCCTGCGTTTCTTGACCCAAACATCAATTTTAATATCATTTCCATGCCTGAGTCACACCCAAAATCTCAGGAAGTCGCCAGGATGCGCAGCAATTTTCACAACAAATTAAACGCAAAGCTGGATGCTGGAGATTAATTCAAATTTTGGGGTTTAGCGCCCGGCTCTTCATCCCATTTATCAGGGCTCAATTTGTCCCTGCTGGAAATTCCTGCATGGAAAGGATGCAAAAAAAAAAAAAAATCGGGATGGGGAGCACTCAGCGAAAGATGGGAATGAAGAGGCTTCGTACAAAGTCTGGGCTCAAAGGACTTCAAAGTTCCCAACGCTTCTCACTAATGGCTCGAATATGCAAAGTTTTGGCTCCCCGAGGTTGTGTGGAGATCTCGGCGCCCACATCCCCTGGGCAAGAGCCTCAATCAGAGTCGGTGAGTCAGGAGCACTCAAAGGACTTCAACTAATTCAAGGTAAACACCTTCAGAAACTTCAATTATTTAATTAAACCTTTCTATAATTTATCTTTAAAAAAAAAAAAAAAAGTTAAGCCAAATCTTCGTCGTTTTAAAATCCTTTGAATCCTCCTATTTTTTCAGCAGGAAAATTCTCTTCTTTTTTTAGAATCTTTTCTATAAAATGCCTTTTTTTTTTTCTTGAAAAGGTTTTTCTAGAAAAGGTTTTTCTAGAAAAGATTTTTCTATGTAAGGAGAGTCCTTCTCCTTAAAAATCCCTACAACCCAAGAGCCCGTAATTTTTTTAGATAAGTCACAAAATCCATTCCTTCTGGTAGGAATCACTCCCAAGAAAAATTCGCTTCCCTTTCCTCCACAAAACTGAGATAACCCAGGAACGTTTCCTCCTCCTCTTCCTCCTCTTCCTCCTCCTCCTCATCCTCCCCTCCGGGCGCACAAACTGCTGCTGTTGGAGGGGAGATCCCATCTGGGAAAAGCCACACTGACATCCTGGCAGGGTTTCCAGTTCCCTAATTAACACGCGGAGTTCATCCAAGACATCCAGGGGAGGCAGGACACGGCGAGTCCCATTGATGGAGTTAATTTTCCACACTCAATTAACGCTCCCGGGACAGGTGAAGGCACCAGCGAGTTGACAAATTACGGCGTGAATTGAAATTTGTTCGCGTCGTGTTGGCTCCGGAGCCCTGGGTGTGATGGAACAAAGGAATGGAATAAACCCCAAGTCCCGGAGATGAAAGAAGCTTTTAGGGAGGTTTTTCATCTCACGCCAGGCTGGTGCATAAACCATGAGCAGTTTAACTCCCAGCTCAACCTGCTGCAGACATTATTTGTATAACTGAGTTATTGGAACGCCCCAAACCTTCCCGACAAGAGAATTTCTTCCAATTTTTTTCCCTCCCTAAACGGAGTGGTTTAATGCCTTCGGTGGCTGTTGTAAATCTAAATCAGATCCTGGGGGTGCTCTGAGTTCGCCACACTCCGGGCTGGACATTCCCAACATTCCCAACTCCCCCAGATTATTGATGATCTACTCAGTGATAAAGTTTCAAATAAGAAAAGGAAGGGAGGGGGGAAAAACCAACAGGAGACTCGGGAGATTATGATAAAATCATCATTTTATTAATCCCAACGAGAGGATTAAAGCCCTGCAAAGCACCGGGTGTCGGTGTGGGGGGAAAGGCTCAGCTCACGGGCAGAGCTCTTCTTCCACGTCCTAAATTTAAACTTTTACACCGGGTGGCACCAAATAGACCGAGCAGCCGAGCTGCCACCCGGATCAGGAACGCACGGGAGCGAAACGGGAGCGAAACGGGAGCGAAACGGGAGCGAAACGGGAGCGAAACGGGAGCGAAACGGGAGCGGTGCCCTCGCACCGGGAGCTGATGGACCCCGTCCAGGTGGAGCTGTGGGGGATCTGGCATCGCTTTTGGAACCGGGAGCTCAGTCCTGCTCCGGGGACGGGTCGGGATTCAGCATTCCTGGTTCCCTCTCCCGCTTTCCCCTCCCGCCTCAGCAGGGCCCGTAGAAGCCGCTGCGGGACGGGTTGTAACGCCGGTAGGACCGGCCGTAGCCACCACCCAAACCGGGGTAGCCAAAAGCCCCAAAGCCCAAGGAGGAACTGCCCGAGTTGATGGGGACACCCTCGGCGCTCAGAGCGCTGCCCACGGCCGCGGACGCCGAGGATCCCACGGCGGTGTTCTGGGGGAAGGAGCTGAGGATGGGCCCGGGCAGGGTGACCACCACGGGCGAGGGCTGGATGACCACGGTGGAGTCCTGGCACTGCCTCACACAGGGCTCGTTGCAGCTGTTGGCCAGCGGGGTGGGGCCGCAGGACGTGGGGGGACATCGCTCGTAGCACGACATGGCTCGGGGTGAGGTCTGGAATACAGGAGCACACCTGAGTGCCAGGTGGGAGCGGTGTCACACCTGCCTTCACTCAGTTCTGTTATCGGGGCTGCGACGTCCCAAGGAATCTTTTAGGAGCTGAGGAGGAAACCAAACTCTTAAATAAAGAGAGACAAAAGCTGAAACGTCCTCTGTGCTGTCAGTGAACCGGGGAAGAACTGGCGGCAGAACAAAAGAAACAAACCTGCATCATTAATTTAATTGCAGGATTTTGATTGCACGTCTGGAGAGAGCGGTGAGGAGGGAAACCCGACCACAAATGCGCCTGTGGAGAGGGAGAGCTGGAAAAATGAAAGGGAGGATTCGTTTGGAGGCTCCGGCTTTGCCTACAAAGAGGTACAAATTTCAATTTGTCATTAAGCAGCCTTGGAGAGGAGGTCTTTGAAATCCTTGCCGAAATCATTCCCAGCCAACTCATCCCGGGATGTGAGGAAAGGCAGGAGTTCCGTGCACATTCCTGGGTTTTATCCACACCACAGCAATAAAGCCCAAATTCTCGGGTTTCTAGGGGTGCTCAGCTCTGCTCCAGTTTTTCCCTTCTTTCCCTTCACCCCCACAATCCCTGATCCCACTTCCCAATATTCCAGGAGATGTCATTGCACTCCAGAACAAAAATTTCC